TTTGGCTTTGAGTTCCTTGCTTGCATTGTATCCGCTATCCTTTGATCCCAACATGGTGTTAGGTAAAAATAGAACCTTTTTTAGAAAATTGTGGCATGCGATGTAATATAATCTTAGTATCATGATTAAATTTGGAAGGTATTCATGAGAAATCTCAAGATTTAAATCACAAATCACATTTTATTAATTCTTCATTATATCTATCAAGATTTTACCTAATCTTTTATCTATAAGAGATTTTCAGAGTCCTCACAAATTTTTAAGCTAATTCATTTATCATATATGGCAATAAATTATCACAATACATCATTACAAGTATTTTATATTCTTTTAACTTTGTGAGACTTTCAGAGCCCTCACAAACTTATAAGTTAACTAATTTATTATTTGTGGGGATAAGTTATCATGGCTATTTTATTCTATTTGCTGCATGCACTATCACAAAATACCCCCTTATTTGATAGTTACTTTAGCCAATATTTAATGGCTTTTAACCATCAAGTAATGGTGTGCCATACATTTACTTGATAGTTAAAAAGTATCAAATATTTAAGATATTATTTGATAGTTATTTCAAGATAACCGTTAAGTAAATATTTAAACATTTACATCTCAACTTTTTATACCAGACTATACTTGATATTTGTTTTGAAATAACCGTTATGTATTTTTGGTAAATCTTGTGTGTTGATTCGTTTTTCAAAATACTTGAAGGTAAATAACCATCAAGTATTTTGGCAAACAAATCAATACATAGAATTTATCAAAAATACTTGATGGTTATTTTGAAACAACCATCAAGTGTATATTTACTTGATGTTTGAAATAACCATGAAGTTTTTATGGTATTTTTTTTAACTTGAGGGCTTCTTTTCAAGCAGCCCCTGCGAATACAAAGCAATTGAATATTGAGGCTCACAAAAATTAAGAGACACTGTAAGTATACAGGTCGCAATTGAAGCTAGTGGTAAATCAAAATCGATCCTTCAGGGAATTAATTAAAATGGTCACTAGGCATTAAATTTATAAATTCATTCACATTAAGCAAACAACACTTGAGATTGATTTTAAAATAATTAAAATAAAAATATTAAAAATGATTAATTAAAATAACTATCAGTTCATAAACAAGCTAGAGTCAACCAAGAGAAGGGTGTTCTAGAGTCCTAATTCCCTATTTGCTTTCTAACCCTCTCATTACCACATCAATTGTCTTGAAACTCAATTTTGACAATTCGGGGATCTAAATTAATCCAAAGTATCTTCCGATTACTACAGACCCTAATTAATTCAATTAAAGCAAAATATTACCTTAATTAATTAATTGCATTAGAGACTGTTAACCTCTAGAAGTTCATGTTATTTCATCACATTTTCCTTAGATTCTAATTCATTTTGGTTCAATTGTATATGTTTTTATTGCCCAAATTAGGAAAATGTGCATTTTGTTTTGGGCTTGTGTTTTTGGCTTTAATTTGATATTTTTCGCCTAATTTCATGTTATTTTGATTAGAAGCATTTCTGGAGCTTTGTGGATGTTTTTGGAAGGCTTTTGGATGAAGAAATCAAGAGCAAAATGAATGATTTTTGTTAGTTGTAAAAACAGTGCAAAACTGCCAAAGTCGTCTCAAAGTCGTGACTTTCGTTCGCGACTTTCGTTGCTGTCAGAAAAATGCTGCGTTTCATTTATCAGAAATTAGTTGGCTAGGACACATATAAGCTGAGAGCTCGACCCAGAATGCATTCTTCAGACTTTTAGACACTTTTAGAGCTTGGTTGTGCTAGGGTTTGGGCATTGGAAGAGTTGGGATCATGTTATTTCATCACATTTTCCTTAGATTCTAATTCATTTTGGTTCAATTGTATATGTTTTTATTGCCCAAATTAGGAAAATGTGCATTTTGTTTTGGGCTTGTGTTTTTGGCTTTAATTTGATATTTTTCGCCTAATTTCATGTTATTTTGATTAGAAGCATTTCTGGAGCTTTGTGGATGTTTTTGGAAGGCTTTTGGATGAAGAAATCAAGAGCAAAATGAATGATTTTTGTTAGTTGTAAAAACAGTGCAAAACTGCCAAAGTCGTCTCAAAGTCGTGACTTTCGTTCGCGACTTTCGTTGCTGTCAGAAAAATGCTGCGTTTCATTTATCAGAAATTAGTTGGCTAGGACACATATAAGCTGAGAGCTCGACCCAGAACGCATTCTTCAGACTTTTAGACACTTTTAGAGCTTGGTTGTGCTAGGGTTTGGGCATTGGAAGAGTTGGGATCAAGAGATTGAAGCTTTGAAGACATTTGGAGCTCATTTTCTTTGATTTTTCTATTCCTCTTCCCTTTCCTCTCTTGTAATCTGAAAATGGGTCCACTTATTTTGTATATTTGTAGCTTGTGGATGATTATGAGTAGCTAAACCCTTTGTTCTAGGATTATTTGGAACCCTTGTATGGATTAACACTATATTTCTCCTCTCTTTTTGTGATTAATGATATATAAGTGTTTATTTTACTCTTTCCTTAATGCTTCTACTTGATTGGCCACCATTTAGATGTTGGGTTCACTTAATTGATGCTTGAGAGGGCTAGGTTGAGTGTAGAACTTGGGTAAAATTGTGTAAGAACTTGATATTTGCATGTTGAATGGATGGTTTTGCTAGTAAGATAGAGATATACTTGCTAGTCTTGCATAGCCTCATTAGGGTTGGTGTTTAAAATTGAGTTTTATTAATTGTAACAAGAGATTGGACAATTAATTTAACTAAACACTTGTTCATGACTTGAGAGAGCTTGTCCAAGTATTTTTAGAACCCTAGGTTAGCACTTATTTTCATTAAAAGCATTTATGAGAGGAGGTAATTTTGGTGTTATGAAATGCAAGGGGGACAATTAATCCTAGGTCTCAATTTGTGTTGGAAGTTTGTGAATCACTCACTTTCTTAAATTTCTAGTGTTAGTTTCATTTGAAAAATCATTTTCACCTAACTTTGTGATGCTCAACTTAATCAAATTTGCTTAGTCTTTTGCTTGATTATAGTTTTCTAAACAAATCCTCGAAGGAATGATACTCTACTCATTTTATATTACTTGCTACGACCTGTACACTTGCGGTGAGCAACAAGTTTTTGGCACCGTTGCCGGGGATTTGCTTTTGAAAATATTTTAATCAACCTTAGACTAGTAATATTAGATTTCGCTTGAGCTTTGTAGATATTAGTTCTAGATTTTTATTTTTTCTTTGTTCAGTGCTTTTGTTTTAGTTTGATACTTCTTGGGTTGTTTCTTCTTCAGGTACCCATTTGGCATATGCAAGTCATAGGCCCAGAAAGATTGGAAGTGATACTTGAAGGATTGACAATCTTTGAAGAAACCGAGTCTCCTAATTCTGAAAGAACTCCTGAATCGAGAAACATGGCAGAAGACCAGTATGACACTGCCTCAGTCAATGACTTTGCTAACCGGAATCTGAGGGGTACTTAATCTTGTATTCGAATGCCGGAGTTTCAAGCACATACTTTTGAGATCAAGCCCGCCATGATCACAATGCTTCAAATGAATGGTGTGTTTCATGGTCTATTCAATGAAGATGCTAACAAGCACTTGATGTCTTTTGTGGAAGTATGTGATTCTTTCAGACAAAATGGGGTGCCTAAAGATGTCTTGCGCTTGCGATTATTTCCAATTTCTCTACAAGACAAGGCTAAAGAATGGTTCAACAATCTTCACGAAGGTTCTATTGGTTCATCGGAGGATCTTGAGAACAAGTTTAGAGCTCGATTCTTCTCTGATGATAAAACAGTGGAAGCAAGAGATGAATTTCTTAGCTTTAAGCAATATCCAGAGGAACATCTCTATGCAGCTTGGGAGAGATACAAGATGTTGATGAAGAAATGCCCTAATCATGGAGTGGACAAATGGGTAGTGATTCAGATTTTCTGTAATCGTCTGAATCCATCTTCGAAGGCCATGGTTGATTCTATCACAAATGGGGGATATCGGAATGTGCCTGTCAATGAAGTTTTTCGCCTCTTAGACCAATTATCTGCGAATAACACTCAAAACACGGATAGAAGGAATATATCAATGGTGACTAGTGCTAAAGATGATTCCTCTTCCCAGATTGTATCCATCTTGAATGCAATGAACAAGCATTTTGATGTGTTGGAATCTCAAATGCAAAAGGGAAATTCTCATAATGCGCATGCTGTCCAAGCCATTCCAATTGTGTGCAATCAATGCAATGATATGCACATGCCCGATCAATGTCCTCTTTATATGACCACTGAGTCTGTCAACTATATGGGCAAGTTTCAAAACCCTCACAACAACCCTTACTCTCAAACATACAACTCAGGATGGAGGAATCATCCTAATTTTTCATGGAGTCAAGGGAATTCTTCAAATCAACCTTCATCCTCTAATGTCAAGCCACTTCACCCTTCGGGTTTTCAAGCTCTACCAAAGCCAATGCCGGTTAAAGAAGAGGAGTCTAGAATGGAAAAGATGCTAGCACAAATCTTGAGTAATCAAGAGTCTGCAAGAGTTGAAACTAAGGCAACTCTTACTCTTCATGATACCGCAATCAAGAACCTCGAAGTGCAAATGGGGCAATTAGCTTCACAAATGAATGCTATGTCAAGAAGTAATCTCCCTAGTGACACCATTCCAAATCCTAAAAGGGATGGTAAGGAGGAGTGTAAAGCCATCACTTTGAGAAGTGGGATGCAATTACCCGAAGTTCTTATGCCAAGTGCAAGTGGTGTGAGTAGTGGTGCTACTAAGGTGATTGTTGATAATGAAGTGATTAATGAAGAAATTATGGTTGAAGAGTGTGATAACTCGAAGAATGACCAAGAAGAGAAAAAGATTGAAGATCAAGCCAAAAAGGTTGGTGATGAGAAAAAGCAACTAGAGGCCAAGCCAAAATATATGCCTCCACCACCTTTTCCTCAAAGGCTTAGGAAGCAACAGAAGATGGCCAATTCAAAAAGTTTCTTGATATGTTCAAGCAATTGCATATCAACATTCCTTTTGTGGAAGCTTTGGAGCAAATGCCCAAATATGCTAAATTCATGAAAGATGTGCTCTCTAAAAAGAGAAGGTTCAATGAGTTTGAGACGGTTGCTCTAACCAAGAGTTGTACGGATATCATTAAGCAACTACCTCAAAAGTTGAAGGATCCCGGTAGCTTCTCAATTCCGTGTCATATTGGGAATAAATTTTTGGGTAAGGCATTATGTGATCTTGGAGCTAGTATCAATCTTATGCCTCTCTCTATTTTCAATAAATTGGAGTTGGGTGAAGCTAGACCAACAACCGTGACTTTGCAATTAGCGGATAGAAGCTTGGCTTATCCACGTGGTGTTATTGAAGATGTTCTTGTAAAAGTGGATAAATTCATTTTTCCGGTTGATTTCATTGTCCTTGATTGTGAGGTGGATCGTGATATTCCTATTATCTTAGGAAGACCATTCTTGGCAACTGCTAGAACCTTGATTGATGTTGAAAAAGGTGAGCTTACTATGAGGGTGGATGATGAGCAAGTCACTTTTAACATGCACAAGTTGATGAAATCTCCCAAAGATCTTGAGCAATGCTTCTTTGTTGATATGCTTGATCAAGTTGCACAAGAAGAATTCAATAAGGCAATTCCTAATGATTTTTTAGAAGCCTTGTTACTAGGAGCTCAATTAAGACTCAAGATGGAGAAGAGTGTATGGCTATCATGAATGCATCACCGGTTTATCCTAGAAACCGTGTCCAATTTGAATCTCTAGACTTATCTTCTCTTGGTAGACCATCTTTGAAATCCTCTATTGAAGAGCCACCATATCTTGAGTTGAAGACATTACCTTCTCATCTTCGGTATGTCTATTTAGAAGCCAACAACACTTTGCCAGTGATTATTGCTGCGGACTTGAATGAACAACAAGAAGAGCAACTTGTGGAAGTCTTGAAAGCTCACAAGAGAGCTATTGGGTGGACTATTGCCGACATAAAGGGTATTAGCCCTTCAATTTGCATGCATAAGATTTTCCTTGAAGACAATCATAAAACTTCTGTGGAACATCAAAGAAGGTTGAATCCTATCATGAAGGAAGTTGTGAAAAAGGAGATCTTAAAATGGCTTGAGGCGGGCATTGTCTATCCTATTTCTGACAGCTCTTGGGTGAGCCCAGTTCAATGCGTTCCAAAAAAGGGAGGCATGACTGTAGTGGCTAACACCCACAATGAGCTAATTCCTACTCGCACTGTCACTGGGTGGAGAGTATGCATGGATTACCGGAAGCTAAATGCGGCCACTAGGAAAGATCACTTTCCTCTTCCCTTTATCGACCAAATGCTTGACAAATTAGCTGGAAGGGAATTCTTTTGCTTCCTTGATGGGTATTCAGGCTATAACCAAATTGCCATAGCTCCAGAGGATCAAGAAAAAATGACATTTACTTGTCCTTATGGAACTTTTGCTTTCAAGCGCATGCCTTTTGGGTTATGCAATGCACCGGCCACTTTTCAAAGGTGTATGATGGCAATTTTCTCTGATATGATTGAGCAAACTATGGAAGTCTTCATGGATGACTTCACGGTTTTTGGGGATTCATATGAGGAATGTTTGATCAACTTGGCCAATGTGTTGAAAAGATGTGAAGAGACCAACTTGGTCTTGAATTGGGAAAAATGCCACTTCATGGTTAAGGAGGGCATAGTTCTTGGCCATAGAGTCTCCAAAAATGGCTTGGAGGTAGATAGAGCCAAAATTTCAGTGATTGAGCAACTTCCTCCACCTACTAATGTTAAGGGTGTGAGGAGTTTTCTTGGTCATGCGGGATTTTATCGCCGCTTCATTAAAGACTTCTCCAAAATAGTCAAGCCTCTTTGCACTCTTCTTGAGAAAGATGCTGAATTTAAATTTGATGATTCATGCTTGAAAGCATTTGAAGAGTTGAAGAAAAGACTTGTGTCTGCGCCTATCATGATGGCTCCTGATTGGAGTTTGCCTTTCATTGTGATGTGTGATGCTAGTGACTTTGCTGTGGGTGCTATGCTTGGCCAAAAGAAAGAAAAAGTGCTTCACCCAATTTACTATGCTAGCAGAACACTTGATGATGCTCAAGAAAACTACACCACGACTGAGAAAGAGCTTCTTGCAGTGGTGTTTGCTTTTACCAAGTTTAGATCGTATCTTGTGGGTACTAAGGTGACAGTTTACACTGACCATTCAGCTTTGAAGTACCTATTCAGCAAGAAGGAGTCTAAAGCAAGGTTAATTCGATGGGTACTACTTCTACAAGAATTTGACTTGGAGATTATTGATAGGAAGGGTACTGAGAATCAAGTGGCGGACCATCTTTCTAGGTTGAGTACTGATGCTCAACTTAAATGTAATGTTGTTATTGATGAAGCTTTTCCTGATGAGCAACTCTTTAAGGTTGACAATATTCAAACACCGTGGTATGCGGACATTGTCAACTATCTTGTTTGTGGCATCTTGCCCTTTGATTTGAAGTTTCATCAAAAGAAGAAGTTTCTCCATGATGCTAAGTTGTATTTTTAGGAAGAACCCTATCTGTTTCGCCAATGTGCTGATCAAATGATCAGAAAGTGTGTTCCTGAGTGTGAGCAACAAGAAATTCTAAGATGTTGCCATTCTTCTGACTATGGAGGCCACTTCGGGGGTGACAAGACAGCATCTAAAATCTTGCAAAGTGGTTTCTATTGGCCCTCTTTATTCAAGGATGCATATGACTTTGTTTTAAAGTGTGATAGGTGCCAAAGGATGGGTAATATCTCTAGAAGGAATGAAATGCCACTCAACAACATGCTTGAAGTAGAACTGTTTGACGTGTGGGGCATAGACTTCATGGGACCATTTCCCATGTCTTTCAACAATCAATATATCCTTGTGGCTGTAGACTATGTCTCAAAATGGGTCGAAGCGGCGGCATTTCCCACTAATGATGCTAAAGTGGTGCTCAAGTTCTTGAAGAAGCATATTTTCACCCGTTTTGGAGCACCAAGAGCCATTGTGAGTGATGGTGGTACTCATTTTTGCAACAACCAATTTCAATCTCTCTTGAAGAAATATGGTGTCAAGCACAAGGTTGCACTTGCTTACCATCCTCAAACTAACGGGCAAGCTGAGATCTCTAATCGGGAAATCAAGAAGATACTTGAGAAGACGGTAGGAGTGGCAAGAAAAGATTGGTCCACCAAACTTGACGATGCATTGTGGGCTTATCGAACGGCTTACAAAACTCCTATCGGCATGTCTCCATACCGGTTAGTTTTTGGGAAAGCATGTCATCTACCGTAGAGCTAGAACATGGTGCTTATTGGGCTGTCCAAAAGCTCAACTTTGATTTTAAAGCCGTGGGTGAAAAGAGACTTCTCCAACTAAATGAACTTGATGAATTTCGGTTAAATGCCTATGAGAATGCTAGGCAATACAAGGAGAAGACAAAGAGATGGCATGACAAGAAAATTTTATGCAAAGCATTTGAGCCAGGCCAAAAAGTACTCTTGTATAACTCTAGATTGAGATTATTTCCTGGCAAACTCAAGTCTAGATGGTCGGGACCGTTCAATGTGGTCCAAGCATTCCCTCATGGTGCTATTGAGCTAGAGAGCAATGAAGGAGAAAGATTTAAAGTCAATGGACAACGAGTGAAGCATTACTGGGGTGGTGAGGTAGACCGTGAAGCAATTACCTTGCCCTTATCTGATGCCTCTTGAAGGAGAGAAGAGTCAGGCTGAATGACTATAAAACAAGCGCTACTTGGGAGGCAACCCAAGCTCTAAACCTTATCTTTTGATTTTTCTTTTGTAGTTTAGTTGTTTTGGTGAAGTTATGTGTGATCTTGTCTCTTTTGTAGGTTAACAAGAAGATATGAGGAAGTATAAGCCTTTGGAGAAGCAAGAAATGTGCCTAAAGAACAAAAGAGCACAAAAGGAAGGAAAATTTCAGGGAAGTCAAGCTATTTAAGTTGTTTTTATGCTTATAAACTTGTCTTGGTAATCATTTTGAGCTTATTGAAGTAAATGCAATTTTTTGTGGTTTGATTCTCATGAAAAATGATTCTTTTTGGGGGTTGATTGCATTTAAATTGAAGGAAATTGTGTATGGTTGATGAATGATGGTTAGAGATTGATTTTGGAGTAAATTGAGTGCTTGGAAGAGGTTTTAAGGGGTGAATAAATCAGATTTTTGAAAACAGAGTGCTGCAGAATTTTACTGTCAAGAAAGTTCTGACACAAGTCATGACTTTGAGCTCACGACTTTGAGATTCCAGAGAAGGTCAAAGTCGTGACTTTCATTTCAGTCTTAAATCCAAAGTCACGACTTTCATCTCCTCTGGACCTGTTTTGAAAAAAAAAATTTTGATTTTTTTTATATATATATAATATTAATATATATATATATATATATATTTTCTTTTCTGTCCTTTTCTTTTCTTTCCCTTATGTGTTATGTTTTATAGTATTTAAAAATAATATAATATATATATATATTTATATAGATATAATAGAAAAAAAAAATTTTCCTTCTTCTTCTTATCCTTCCAGTTCTGCAGCTCTCTTATAAAAAAAAAAACATATTCTCCTCTCTTTTCCATTCAGCGCCTGTAGCTGGTCCTAAAAAAAAAAAAAAGAATACTCAGCTAACCTCACGGGCTTTATTCTTTGATTTCCCTGTCCGATTTGGTCCTGCTCTTCACGCTCTCGCATTTCTTTCCAGTTCTATCATTCCCTTCATTTCCAGTCACCGTCGTTCCCCTGCTCTTCCACTGCCAGCATCCACGGTATCCCTTGCCAGATCGCTTCCTGTCTCTCTTGATCCCTCTTCGGTTCTCTTCTCTAGCCCACGTCGTACCCCATTTCTTCTCTTTCATTTCCTCGTTCCCTGCCATTTTTGTTCAAACCAGATGTCTTCATCCTCACCGTAAACCGCTGTTTCCTTCCTTTACCAGTCATCATTTTCGTTTAAATCATGGAGTGTTTCTTCTTCAAGCTTCAATCTTAGCTCAGAAGCATCTCGTTTCACAGCCATTTTCATTGGAGCTACACTGTTCATGCCCGTCTGCTACTGTAGCTCCCTTTCCGCCATAGTTATTCGTGGAAGCTTGAGGGTGTCTCTTTGCCATTTGTCTCTGTTTCTCCTCCACAAGCTTAAACCACAGCCCCTGTCTCCGCCATAGTCCTCTCTTAAACCCACCTTCATTATTTCTTCCTCTCATCTCCAGCACTCCCTTAGTCGATCTCCCTCGGTCTCTCCTTTACCCTCATATCTTAGCTCCTCTTGATTCGTTGCTGTCAATCGATTTCATCCACCATTTTCATTTCAAACCACTCACCAATAGCCACTGCTCTTCTCGTCGTCCATTTATTGTCGTGTGTCATCCTCAAGTGGTTGAGCTATCGTCTCTCTGCTTACTCACAGGTTCTGAATCTATTGATTTTTTTTTTTTTTTTTTCTTTCTTTCTTTCTTCTCTACCTCTCCACTTTGATTGGGCTATTTTGATCTGATAAGGATGTAGAAATGTCAAACCATTATTTTCCTTTGATTGCTGATCGAACTAAATGCAAATGTGGGGTGAGTTTGCAAGAATGCAATGTTCTTTTGAGGATTCTTTGCACTGTCATTTTGCCATTATCGTTGTTGCCTTTTATCTGCCTGTGCTGCTTAAACTTTGACCCGTGAGCTTAAGGCTTAAATCCTGTATTTTGAAT